TAAGATGGCAAGCTATCAATTAAACTGTCTGCCTTAGGCCTAGATACGATTCTAAACAAGCTCTATGTCTAGATAAATGTTCATTTGCTAACACATCTCAAGCATCAAATGTCTTTGGTTGAATAACATGCAAGCAATCATTAAGAACGGATCTAATAGCCATTTTAACACCTTTAACAACAAGTGTCCCTGGTAAAGATTGTTAAAAGCTTAAAAGAGTTGACTCAGACATTTCATCGAACACCTGTCGGCTGAGAAATGTCTAGAGATCAACCTTTGAGTGATCAATTCAAAGGAGGCTTCAAGACTACTCTAATATGCAAGGAACAAGAGAAATCTACACTTAAAACATCTTAGCTCTAACCTAATCACCCTAAATCACCCTAACCCATGAATCCAAGGGGTGATTACTCACTAATCTCCATGATTATCCTTAAACCCATGGTGGATTTCAGATTAACCATGTAGATAAATAGATGGAGTAATCCACAGAAGCACAAGAACATACAATGGAAATCAAAAGGATGAATTTCTCTCCAGAGTTTTTGTGTTCTTTCAATAATCAAAAGATAATCCGCCAAAAAGGTGGCTACAAGGTGTTTAAACATTAGGTTTTCCAAGTGCAAAAACGTGCACCACAATTGCAAAAAGGTCCTTAGAAAATCATAAAATCGTCACAAGAAATAGACGCGCAGCGGCCAGGCACATCGCTCTGCACAGTCGCTCCAGGTGGGAGCGACCTGCGCCCTCGCTCCGTGAGGTCGCTCCAGACGGTGCTCTTCAGTTGCTCGAGAATTGCGAGCGATCAAGACCACTCGCTCCAGACGTCGCTGCGGTTCGGAGCGACCTCGTATAGTCGCTCTGACAGGTCGCTCCAGAAGCCTTTACATGCCTCCAGCTGATGAAATCGCGAGCGACTCAGGTGCATCGCTCCGGACCTCGCTCCGGCTCACAGCGACCTACTCACATCGCTCCAAAGGGTCGCTGCACTCTCTACTCGTCCAATGTCCACCATTTGCTTCATTTCTTTGCTACAAACTCACCCAAACAACTCCAAGAACTCCAAGAATACTCCAAGAATACTCCAACACCTGATAAGAACTCATGTATGCAAAATGCAACCTAGAATAAACTAAATCCTAATCTATATGATAAAAATGCGCAAGATATGAATGCTAAAAACAAGTAAATATGCAAGATATCAATTAATAATCTCTATAAGTTAATAAATTTCACCGGTCCCAACTTGGAGCGGTGTAAAATATGACACAAATCGATAAAATAATAAGATAATAATATTTTTAAAACTGCCATGTAAATATATAGTCCCATTAAAATCATAAATTAATAATCTACATATATATAATTTTATATAAGTACAATCTAACATATATTGTTGGTTTTATATTTACAATAAAAATACTTTTTTTATTTTTATTTTTTACCATTTCAATATATTTTGATAATATTTAGTTAAATTATATCGAAACCCATGTAACAATTCTATGAAACATAAAAATATACACCAAATAAGATAATAAAATAATATAAAAGTCAAAATTCTAAAATTTAAATAACGTACATACGCTAAAATCAAATATTTTTTATTTTAAAAAGAAAAATGAAAAAATAGAAAAAATATAAATAAGGAAACTTTTGTAAATTAATATCTCTATGAATTAATAAAATTTCAAAGTTCCAAAGATTATTAATTTATAGAGGTTTTACTGTAAACACATATATTGACATATTATCACGTAATATATGATATATATCTTCTAAAAATAAATAATAAGACAAAATTTAAGGTTATTAGAAACATGTATAATACATAGTAATTCAAGGTATTTTAAGGTATTTCAAGATAGTTCATAGTAGTATTCGGTAATTCATATTACACAATAGTTCATATTGCAATACACCATGAAAAATAAAATATTTCTAGTAGAACCAATGCATTTAGATAGTTTTAGATGGTATATAACATTTTTGTAGAAACAAAATTCTGAAAATATGGAGTTTGTGTGGTTTACCTTATTATGACATCACCACCAAGACATTAGATATGGAAGAAAGTTTTTTGTGGAAGGGATAATCTTTCTAACAAGTTATTTCTTTCTAACAACTTAAGAAATATTAAAGATTTCCTGACTAATTTGATATCTAAACACATATGTGGACATATAATTCAAAATATATAAGTTATATCTGCTAAAAATATATACTAATCCAAAAATATAAAATTCTTATAAATATGTATAATACATAGTAGTCTAAGGCAATACAAGGTGTTCCTAGTAGTGCTAGTAGTCCACCTATACTTTATATAAATAAAATATAATGTCAAATCTTCAAATTTATATAAAATAATGTATATCCTTCAACTTCAAAAAGAATGTAACTTTTATATTTTTCACAAAAATTATAAATGGTCTGAATGGATTCATACTCTTAATAAATTCATCTATTTAATCAAAAGATTTTAATACAGATAAATTATTTATAAAATGAAAGCATTTTGTAAATAACATTAAAGTTAAATAGATATAACTGAATTGGAATCTTAACTGATACTTTTTATATAACAAGTAAAAGTGTCAAAATTAGTTTTTATAAAACAAATAATATTATTTAGAATTTATATATATTTTTAATTTAATTAAAAATATAAATTGTAAAAATATGAATTATATTATTTTTCAATCTGAAGGCCATATAAAGTATAGAAAAATTCAAATTAAGGGAATTTGAAATTAGTTTTTATTAAAATATTATTAAAATATATGCTTTATTAAATTCATAGTTTTTAAATATTTTTATGTAAACAAATTCATATAATTTTGTATTAAATTTAATTTTAAAATGGATTATTGATTAATATATCATTAAATTTTGTATTTTTGAAATATTATTGAAATATTATTGAAATATTTATATATATTTCGAAATTAAATTTTTTTTTAAATATGAAATATATATATTTTTAACACGTTTTAGACATGTTTTTGTTGAAATTTTAACATGTTTTAGACAAGTTTTTTGTTGATTGTTTAACACGTTTTAGGCAAAAAAAAATTGAATTTTTTATCATGTTTTAAACTTAAGTTGCTGAAAATGAATTTTTTTTTGTCATGTCTTTCCGTGGCTTACACTTTTAATATGAAAGTTAGATACAATTGTATTGTATTTTTTAATCTCATGGCTAACTTTTTTTTTTATTGTTAGTGCAAAGCTACTACATTTAATGTTACAACTACCTTGAGTACTACTAAATGTAAATATAATAATAGTGTTTTTTGAATTTTTGAATATATGTCATGTAGACATTTTTAAATGAGTAAACTTTAATTTCTATTTTAATCCCATTTGTTAAATATGTTATACATGTTTTAGACATGATTGATTTTTTTTTTGTCTTTGTAATACATAGTAAAACTAATAGTATAAAACTTTTCTTGCACTTGGTGTTTTATTTTTACTTTTACTTCACTTAGTTAAAAATATAATACTAGTTTAAGGCATACATGTTTTACATATATAATATAATGTTTTTAATTATAAATAGATGTTAAATGCAAATACTTTTTTAGAAAGAGATTCTTGAACTATACGACCAACAGAAACAACTTTTGTTGCTAGTATTTCTTTGAACCCTAGAAAATGATAAAAGTCTATTAGCTTTTTGCTTTGTTCAAAAATTTGGTAGTCGTACTTCGAGTTGGGTCTATAGCCTAATTGAAATTTTTTTATTATTGGAGACTAATTTGGGATTAATTTTATGGTTTTATTAAACTTATATACAAAAAATAGTTATGTAAATATACGCATAGATAACACGTGTTAGAGTTATTTTATTACATGTTTCTATGAGTTTAATTTTCATAGTAATGCTTAATAAATTTAGGGTTTTATTAAACTTATATACAAAATATAGTTATGCAAATATAGAAAAAAAAAGAAATAATATGTGGTCTGGAGGTATACTCTTTATTTGTTATCAATAAAGTCCTGGATTTGATATTTTCTTCCCATTATTTTAAAGAAAGATATCTGTGATCTGATTTTATACGACTAACGAAAATAATTTTATTTTACCAGAAATTAATATAAAATTTTATTTTATAAAACAGAATTATATACAAAATGAAAATTCTATAATTATACAGAAAAATAACTTGTGGTGTGGTGTTTTGTTGCATGTTTGTTAACTAGACAACCCAGTTTCGTTAATTTATTTGGTTAGTATTTATTTTATTTTTAAAAAAAAATTATATTCAAAACATAGTTGATGTGATTATACACAAAAGTAACATATCGTTTGGAGGTATTTTCCTTGATTCTAAACTTTACAACTCCGAGTTCGATACTCGGTAATGTTGATCTTATTTTTTTAATAAGTGGCAGTTTTGTAATTATTTCATTATCTTTCTATTATGGTTTTCCTAGTTTTCCATTTTTATGGGTTATAATTGTTGTTTACACATCAAAACTATAAATTTATCCATATTAATCAATTCTAAACTTAAAATTTGAAAAAAACAAACATTTTTTGTATCCTCATTATTAATATGATTTAGAATCGTGAAGAACAGAATGTTACATGACATAGAGCTCACAAGGCTTACTCAAAATCTCAAGATCATACCATCTTTTTTTTTTGTCAGCCGCCCATCTAAAGCTAGATCAAG